TCTATGTATTAATCACAAGAAAAACAGCATTTGTTTAATTAAAATGATTTTATTAAAGGTTTGGTTTACGAAAATGTCATTCATTTATAATATGATTGAATTGAATAGTAATTATTAATTATTATTATTATTAATTTAAATACAATTAAAAACATATTGCCGTCAATTAAGGGAAACAAAACTGTCGACAAAAACACTAATCAATTAACAAAAAAACATTTAATTATAAAAAAATTAATGCAAAACTAAATTTGAGAGAAAATCAGAAAACTATCATAAATAGAGACTAAGTTATAGAATCGGGAACCAAAAATACTTAAGTGATGACCAAAATGTCCACAATTTTGGGCGCTTTATGTGTCAAACTATTTATCCGAATACAGGTGTGAATAGCGATAGGAAAGGGGAAGGAAATGGAGATTAATGTTGAGTGGAGCTCCTGTAGGGGTGATAGTTGGAGGTGGAGGAGCCAGACTTGCGCACGATTTTGCCGGCGGAAGCGCTGCCGGAGGCGCCGACGCTGTGATGGGTGTGCGAGTGCGTCGAAGACTGAGAGGTGGGCTGACTGGCGGTGCCGTAGGCGGCGGTGGTGTCGGCGGTGGCCGTCTGTGAGTAGTCGCCGGTGACACCAGTGGTACCGTCGGCGCCATAGCCGTAATAATTCCAATAATCACCGTAACTGTAACCGTATTGACTGTAGTAGTCGTAGTTCTGGTTGGGATAGCCGTAAGCGCTGGGATACTGGTTGCCGTAGTAATTGCCGTAATAGTTGGGGGCGACGGTCCCGTTATAGCCGCTCCAATTGCTCTGACTCTGGTTCTGGTACTGATCCGATTGGTTGCGTCGACCGCCACCACCTCCGCCACTGCCACCCCTGCGATTGCCGGCGCCGGTGTCGTAGCCGTCGTTGCTGTAGTTCTGCTGTTGCATACGCTTCTGTTGCTGAGCGACCGGCTGTGGCTGTGCTTTCTTTATGTCGCACTCCTTACTGCCGATCGTCTGCTTCGCCTCTTTCACCGCCGCTTCGGCCGCCTCTTCCGTATCGAAGATTATGAAACAGAACTCTCGCCTCCGGTTCCGCTGCCTATCGAAAGGCAGTTCAATGCCTTCGACCTGACGTTCAATGCATATAAACATTAGTTACAAAACACGTACAGAATTCAAGTGACAAGACATACGCTGCCAAACTTCTGGAAGTATTTCTTAATCTCCTCTTCAGTCATATTGGAATCGATTCCTCCGACGAAAATCTTCTTACAAATGGGACGCGACTTCGCTCTCTTCGGATCAATCGTCTTGTTCTTAATCACATGAGAGCCGGACTTAAACACCTAATGATTGACAACATTATCATTTCCATAACTTATGCCTAATTCTTAAACAAAGTCGAAAACAAAAGGCATTACTTTGTCGATGGAGTTCTCATCGGCGAAAGTAATGAAACCAAAACCCCTGGGATTACCGGAAACGGCATCGTATTTAATACTGACGTCCACTACGGTTCCAAACGCACCAAAGTATTCCTTGAGGTCACCTACACATTGATGAAAGCAATCAGTGGTGTCTTAGGGATCAACTCAATTACTATATCTTACTCTCATGTGTGTCCCAACTCAGTCCACCGATAAACAGTTTTCTATAGGTGTGAAGCAAAACATTTAGTAAATTAGTACAACAAATGCAACAATTGAGTGGAATTCCTATAAATACTAGATATACTGTTAATTCAAAGAGAGATTATTTAATGAAACGACTCATTAATGTCATGAAACGCTAAAAACAGTATCAAATGAATTGAAATATTAATCAATATTAAAAACCTTTAAAAAATGAAAAAATACGATAATTATTATTATTATAAATAATGATTATTAATATAATTATAATTTTAAGCATCATTTAATTATAGTATTTCGTTGCGTTTATATCTACACAAACGCAAGCATTAAAACATATATATTTCGATAAAATCTTATCTAATTTCTTAACAATTTATATGTTTTTATTGGATTTCTGTACCATTTATTCGAGCGTTTGTCACAAGAACTTCAGTCAATGCCGTGTGGACTGAGATCTCTGTCGTCGAGCTTTACTGTAGAGGAATGGCTGCAAAAGGAGGTAAATCTGTTCACATGTCTGTTCAACGAATGCAAACGTCAAAAGGGAAGTCATAACACTAGTTATCAATCAGAAATTCAATTGATTCCAGTGTTGGACACAGCATTGGGTGCTCTCGAGTCGATGCCATTCGTCAGTACATCAAAACCAACAGTCATTTCGATGAGAATTCATTTATAAATA